TTGTAGATTGTGGGATTGGGCCAGCTGAAAAAATACCACCAAAATAGGTAGTAAAAACATCGAATAGCTGCTCCTACCCCGTCACCCAAGCACCAGAATCATCCTTCAATCTTTGGATTGTGTTCCTCTTTCTCATGTCCGATGCTTTACGGTGGAAGAAATTGGTGTTTTTGTCCCCACCCCGCAACCAATTTGCCCTTGAACGTTGCTTCCAATAATCTTCCTCATTCTCTTCCAAAGGGGACGGTTAGCGTGACAACCTCTTTGGGGGGTCTGAATTTCGACACCCCATCTGTTTACCGTCCATCTCAGTAATGCTAATCCAATGGTTGTTATTAGTTAGCAATTGCTGATTGGTAATTAATGAAGTAATTAACCCAATATACATGGGAAAGGGAAAGAAATTCGGGAACCTAGGGAAAAGTGGTTCGCATGCTTAATTTGAAATCAATAACCCAGTGTATCACACCGTTTCGTCTCCTCCTCTTTCCCTTTCAATAAAACAGAAACTCCCCACCCCCTGTCTGCCAGAACCGTCGTCTTCCGCCATAACAACTCCAGGCCGTAGCATCAAGGTCATCCCGCCCCGCAGTGGCAATCCCCCGCCGCAACATCTCTCATCCTGCCGCCCTTACAACAACGCTCCGGTCATCCCTTCCGTCAGCCTTCCCCGTTTTCCATCCCAAACCCTACCTTTCGCCTACTTGCTCTTATCAACGCCTGCCTTGTTCTTTTCCTGTTGACGACCGTCCTTCCGCGGAAGAGCTTCGAGCGACCCTTTGTGGCGGAGAAAGGATCTTACTACGGTGAGGGTTTTCTGCATGTACCACCACAATTCAGCGATTTAATCATCTCCTTCTTTTTAGTATACCATTGCGGTGATAGTATTTTTTTATTTCGTTTTTCTTGCATGTCTATCACTGGAGTGGCATAGATTGGTTATCAACCCTAGGAAGTGGTCCTATCCAGTGATAGACCGGTTTGCTCATTGTTGTGGGTATCTTAGTGAATGTGTTGGTGTAAAAATGCTTGGTTATCAAGCCTAGGAAGCGGGACTATCACAATGGTAGTTTTTTTGTATCAATGGAGTGATAGTGAAAATTTAATATGTATACCTTATCTACCACACTAGTGATAGTTGTGCTTAGCAATGCAGTGGTATAACATGTTCATTTGGAAAATAAAAGTGCCACTGTAGTGATAGTTTGTTTTAAAGGTGTATATGTGTGGAACTATCAGTGCTTTGGTATAAATTAAACATTGTGTCTCATAAAAGATACTACAACAGTGATAGTTTCGTATGAAATGTCTATATGTGTGGAACTATCAGTGCAATGGTATAAATTAAACATTGTGTCTCACAAAAGGTACTACACCAATGATAGTTTCGTTTGAAATGACTATATGTGTGGAACTATCAGTGCACTGGTATAAATTAAACATTGTGTCTTATAAAGGGTACTACAGCAGTCATAGTTTCGTTTCAAATGACTTTTTTGTTAGAACTAGCATTTGATTGATATAATTTATAGACTGTTAACACTACTAGTATCACTACAGCAATAGTCGTTTTGTTCTACATTTGCAGTGACTGTTCACACTACTAGTATCACTAAATTGATAGATCATATTATTGACTTAATTTCTAAATTCCGCATCAGGGATGGCAAGGACAAAGAGAACGGGTCCTATGGAACCAGCAGGACAGAAGCTTGCAGTCATAGAAGGCTGCGCGCAAGAAGCCTATAACCTATGTTTCAAGGCAGGTGGAAGTAGGGACAAGTCATACTCCTTCCTCCAGTGCGGGTACTAGCAAAAAACGCCATCGTGAGACAAGGGAGAAAGGAGAAAAAGATAGGAGGAAGTGGAAACGCACTGATGATGTCTCCGATAAAAAGTGCAGCCCCAACTCAATAATTAAAATCCTGAAGGGTGGAGTGTCAGATGAGAGAAGGGACATACTGAAGAAGTTGGGTTTGGGTGATGTTTTTTAGCTGCAAATGAAGAAGTTCGATAAGCCTTTTTTGAAATGGTTGGTCAACAAGTTCGATGTGGATACAATGTCCCTAACCATGGATGATGACTTTATGTTTATTTGCATTCGGAGGATAATTTATTTTTTGTTGGCATTTTCCCTTATTTTGAACCCCAATGAAACACGGTTATTGGTGCTATTATTGGTAAGTCCCTATTTTGTTGTATGATTTAATATTTACATTGGTGGTGCTTGTGCCAGAATTATATTTTGCATGTTGTAGTTAGTATGAGTACTTGTTGAGTGTTATGTGTACTAATTCAGTGGTACAAGTGCTAGTCGATCGGAATTTGTACCAGTGAAGTTGTATTTCTACAGGTAAAGTGGTACATCTACCAGTACAGATTGTGGTTTCATATTAGGACTGTTGAAATTGTGCGAAATACATTTATATGACAGTAGCAGGTAACCAAAATTACCGTGTCTTTAAAAAGCTGTGTGGGAAATTGACTCCTTACTTTGAAAGGAGGTAACAAAACTTGACTGATACATGTACCAGTCCATTGGTACATCTACCAGACCAGTGTTACATCTACCAGTCCAGTGGTATATATATACCAGTACAGATTGTGGTTTTGTATTAGGATCGTTGTAGTTTCGAAATACATTTATATGACAATAGTCGTGAACAAAGATAACTACATGAGATTTAAAGAAGGTAACCAAACTTGCTGTGTCTTTAAAAAGGTACAAACCACAAATTCCTGAACTTTAAAAGTACAAACTCAGAGGAAAAAAGATGCACCCCTACCGATTGTTAGCCTTTTTACGCCTGATCTCATCTTGCATTTGTTTTCTAGTGTTCTCTCCAGCATATTCCCCAACAGGTTTCATCCTCTTCTTCACTATTTTCCCTCTCGGCTCTGGTTCATCGATTTCTGGGGATCTTCTTCACGAATGTCAGCGATGGTAGACCAATGTTGTTTTCCTACACAAAATACAAATTATTTAGCATATTTAAAAGATGTTTATGTGAACGGGTAACAACTACCAATGTAATAATAGTCAGAACCAACACCTGTGTGTAGAACAAATTTGCCATTAGGGTGAGAAATACCAATGCAGTGGTACTAAAACATATGGAGCGAGACTATGTGATACACTATCACTTCAATGATACAAACTACCATTATAGTGGTACTCATTCATTTGAAAGGTCGAATGCACATGAGTATGGATGCTGACCGAGATTTTTCTGTTGTTCCTCCGGGACTCCAACCGACTCCACGTTCGCGGCAGCGTCAACGTCAAGCATATGCACGACGTTAGAGGTGGAATCGGAACTTGCCATATGATTAATTTTGACGCCGTTCTACATATGCTCAACGTATAGCTCATCAGGACATTCGTCAGAGTCGTCATTGCTGAATTGCCCAAGTTTGAATTGATCGTCGTCGTTGCTGGTATACTCTAGTTTGAGGTCAAATCCCAGGCAACGTTTTTCGATGACTTGTGATTACCTCACCTCCTCCATCCAACTCGGCGACATAATCATCCATCTCTACAACTAATGGATCTCGCCAGCCTTGGAGCGATGAAGCAAATGTATCGTGGCCTGTCGGCTGTGAAGTGAAATCGCATATGATGGGGGTGGGAGGGGAAATAGAAACTGAGAATATGGGAGCCCGAAGGTCACTATCTCCATCTAGCTATATTGCCCCTTCCCCATCCGTAATTATTATCACAATTAAAGTTTTCCAATTTACAAGATAGCAATAAAATAAAATAAAAAACAACTTTCATTAATACAACTTACCAATGATTGAATGGAAAAGTGACCAATCAGACATAGGGTGTCAAAAAACCGACCCCTTGAGGGGTAGGCATAGTATCTTGTCCCTCTTCCAAAGTGTCTAATTCAGCTGCCAATGCTCGCATCTGCTCTAGAACCGCTGCAGTTTTGGGCATTCTTTCCAGCGCTCCGGCAGCTTTCTCTATTCTTTTCCGATTCCTCAAGAAGTTTGGAAATTCCAACTTGCTCCAATCTTCAAGTTTCCCTCTACACGCAGCGATTCTGCCCATCATATATGGCGCAGCCGGGATGGTCCAGGCTTCCTTAACAATTTCTTCACAATCCACATGTTTAGCCCACACATGTTCGAACTTGAAATACCATCCCCATCGTGGCTCCTCGTCTTCTTTACCTAGCGTATTACATAAAATAGGTCTATGATCCGACCTTCTTTTGCCCAGGTGCTTGACAGTGGTGGTAGAGAATTGGTGAGTCCAGCTTTCCGAGGCTAAAAACCTGTCCAGTCGTTCTTCGATGAAGGAGCCTGGCTGGCGATTGTTTTGCCACGTAAAATTGTAGCCCTCGAACCCAATATCCACCAGGCCCGTATCAGCAAGGCATTCCTCAAAGGCTGTCATCTCCATATCATACTCAACTAAACCTCCACTTTTCTCTAAGGGGTGCAAAATTTGGTTGAAATCACCCCCACACAGCCATTTGCCATCCCATTGTTGGCTCAGTCTACGAATTAAATCCCACGTATTATACTTCTCTCCATTCTCTGGCCATCCATAGATACCAGAGAACCGACAAACTCCATTTGTCTCATCGTCAATACAAGCATCAATGTGATTACTAGAAGTAGGCATTACCGTAAGGTGTACGTCTTTAGTCCACCACAGGCTAAGGCCGCCAGCTCGGCCACCTCTACCTTGAAAAGTTGGTCAACTATCACCTCCAGAAAAACCCAGCTCTCGTCCATTCATTTTTCAGCTGCCGTCTGTTTGGTTTCCATCAAAAAGACTAAATGTGGGGAAACAAATCGAATCAACGACTTCAAAGATCTCTTTGCGGGTGCATTCCCCAAGCCCCGAAAATTGTAGCAAAGAATGCACATTTATGACCCGAAGGGGATAGGTTCCCCGCACCATCAGCATTTGTCGAACCTGCCACTTGTGACTTCGAGGGCGACTTCATGTGATTACCCCCTCCCCTATCAGCTTTCCCTTGAGTCTAATTGTTTTTTGGCTTAGCGTTGCCCAAGGATGTATCTCTCATCCCTTTGCTCTGCTGTGGAGTACCTTGAGGGCTCTCCCTATCCATGCTCGCAACCGATTGAGCAGACCCTTGTTTTGTGTGTTGTGGACCTGATTCTTTGTGAGGCTTTTCTTCTATTGGTTTCCCTTTATTCGCTTTCTTTTGTTCCACAGCTTGTTTTTTAGTCTGTATGTGTGGCTCGCTTTTCTCCTCCTTCGACAACTCCTCTCCAGCAAGGGAGGCATATCGGTTCCCTGTAGCATCCCTTTTTGGGCCATTATAGGAACTCTGGTTTCGGCGCTGTGGTCGATTCGGACGCCGAGGGACCATCATCCACTCACCATGAGTTTTCACTGGCTCTTTTTCAACCATCTCGTCATCCTCAGAACCTACCACCTCCGGCTCTTCTTGGGTCTCTGGCATCGGGAACTTGCAATGACATTTCTTAGTGGTTGCTCCGTAGCTGCCGCAGTCAATGCACAGATTGGACAACCCCTCATAACCTATGAAATAAGTGACTCCTTCAATCTTATACGAACCAAGGAGCGGCTTGGTTAAATCCACCTCTACACAAACCCGACCATACTTTGCTCGGGCACCCAAAATTGTTGCTTGGTCCACTCTAACTGGTCTACCAATCTTTTCAGCTATCAGTAGAACTGCTACCTCATTATAGAACTCCACCGGTAACTCCGGCAGCTGAACCCAAATCATAGTAGATTTCACCTTAGACTTCCAGGAATTAAAACCCTTATACCATTGCTGCACCGTCAGATAAGTATCTCCTAGCAGCCATGGCCCGGACGATGTAGCATATTCATAATCCAGCTTATGCTTGAATCGGACAAGAAAACAACCATTCTTCATGTCTGCAATCTGCAATGAGCCATGTCTTGCCCATAAAGAATTCACCCGACGCCAACTGTTCTTCTCCGCTGCAGTAAACAATATCGGTGGACACTTTGGATCTATTTCTTCTTCTAGGACATAATCATCCTCTTCCTTCTCCGCGTTTGCAACGTCTTCTGAGTCAGAATCCTCTACGTGCCATCCTTCCGCCTCCTCTTGTTCGCCGAAAAGTTTCCTGTGGGTTTGTTTCCAGGCCCCTTTGAGGCCGCTCGCTTCTTGCATGGGTTCATCCATGCCAGCACGTGAATCTTCCTCCAACCCCCTACTTCGTTTTTTTTTTTTTTTGCTTCTGGGTCTCTTTTTCTCCCTTCCCATTAGGAGAGGAGGTAGTGATTGGGGGACGCCGGGGATCCTGCCATTGTTCCCGGGGGTTTTGGTGCCACCAGAGCCATCGCAGAAAAACCCTAGCGCAGTAAACAAGATCGCTTTTCTTTTCCGAGAAATTCGGAGCTCTTTTTAAGTGGTCCCTTATGATGTAATTCTTTCCCATAGCAATTTGATGTTGTGCTAATATTGACATTTGGGCGATGGTGGTATTGCCCATATATTTTAGCAACATTGATTCTGTATGTGGTTGCTTCGTGTTTGTGTTTAAATCAAGATGAATGAAAGGGAGAGGGAAGAAAGAACTCATGGGGAAAGAGAAGAACATATTTGATTGGTGTAATAGTTATGGTGAGATCAAGATTTTCATTCAATTGTCCTATTACAACCACAAATTAAAAAGTGTACCATAACACATATAAGTAAACACTCATATTCAGTTAAAAATGAAAAAATTAGAATAACTACTCCTCAAACATTCATGTGATGAAATGAAGTAGCGTGAGATACAACTTCAATACATTCGTACATAATATGCAACAACAATCCTTTAACCAACTAGAACTCCAAGTTTTCAATGCATTGCATATACTTGATAATTCGCATAATGAACTTAAAGTTCAAGTATACTTCATGTTTTAATTTTTGTAATTTTATTGAAAATTCATTATTTCAAGTAAATTTTAGATTTTGAACATCACTGATCGAATTGAAAAAATGGTTCGGCCTAGATTTAGAACCAATAACTTCATTTTGAAAGACTACATGTTATTTATATATAGTAACTATCCGGGTTAATCGGGCGGGTTCGGGTTAGTCGGGTTCGGGTCAACGGGTTGCGTGTTAGTCGGATTCGGGTTCAATCGAGTTGCCGGTCAGTCGTGTTCGGGTTCAACCGGGTTGCGAGCCAGTCGTATTCGAGTCAATCGGGTTACGGGCCTGTCGAGTTGCGGGTTGATCGGGTTGCGTGTCAATCGGGTTACGGGTCCGGCGGGTTACGAGTCATTGACTTTAAGTCAGCTTGGGGTTACGGGCAGGTTGCGGGTCGGGTTGAATGGGCGGGTTACTCGGTTCGGGTTCTATTTTGACACCTATACCTACAAGTAGGGCTGCAAATGAGCCAAGCCGCTCGCGAGCAACTTGGCGTTCGAATCGGAAAAAACTCGTTCGACACTCGACTCGTTGTTTAACAAGCCGGCTCGCGAGTCGGCTCGTTAGTAAACGAGCCAAACTTGAGCTAGGCCATGCTCGGCTTGATAAACTCGTGAGCTAGCTTGACTCGGTGGCTTGTTGAGCTAAGCTCGCGAGCTGGCTTGTTTAAAGCTTGTGGAAGGATTAATTACTCTTCTGAACATGAAAATTATCTTGTTAATAAGGATGTGTATGGAAGTTAGATGTTATTTTTAGTTTCTAGTGTTCTTTTAATCATTTTTAATTTTTAATGTTCTCCACTGATTCCCATCAAATTTTTTTTGTTAGTGTTCTTATTTGTACACAGTTTTTAGCAAGAATGGTTTCAAATCGAGCTTGTCTTGAGCCGAGCTTGTATTGGGCTTGACAAGCAGTGTTAATGAGCATTTATCGAGCTCTATCAAGTCGAACTCGAGTTGGATTATTTTTAATCGAGTCGAGCTCGAGCTCGAGCTGGATCATCAAAATTCGAGTTCGAGCCGAGGTCGAGCTAAAAAATAAACGAGTCGAGCTCAACCTAAGCAAAAACTCGACTCGGCTTTGCAGCCCTAGCTACAACGCTGCAACCCAAAAACAAACATATTCAAAGCAGCGTCGTTTTGTGTGAAAGAAACCGGAAAAAATTGAAATTCCTATTTTGTTCACCTAATCGTTGCGTCGCGTGGCCTCCTCCCCTGGTGACTCCGCGTCTGCTCTCCACCATCTCCATTGTCGAGCCTCTCTGCCCCATCTTCATTCTCTTCTCCCTCGCACCCCGATCGCCGCCGGCGGCAGAGAGCCCCAGCGGCCGCCACCCACTTGCCCCACATCCGGAGTCCCAGGACCGCCTTAATCCTCATCTTCCTTCCTTCCTCCACCTCAACACCCAGAACCGCCTTATCCTCCGCCGACATCCCGCCTCCGGTCACCTCCTTCCCCATCAAATTTAGGTATCAACTCCACCCTCCTTCAAATTATTTTTGGCTTCAATGAAAATGTGAAATGGCAGATCCCTTTCTGCTCCTCCTTCATTCTCTGTCTATTGCCATGATCTATCCTCGATTTGAAATTCTGGTTGGTTCTCAACAGAAAAAAACCCTGCAGAGTTGAATATGCCATAACTAACGGCAACATCTACAGGCGCGAAGCCGTCACCAACTGCCCACTCTTCTCCTCAGCTCCGTTGCCTTATTTCCTGCCAACAAAAGGAAAGAGAAGAAGGAAGGAAGGAAGAAGAAGGAAGGAATAGAAAAAACCAAATAACAATAGAAAATAAAAAATAAATAAAGGACAGAAGAAAATATAAAGGGTCCTCACCTTCAGCGGAGACGCCGGTGCCTCCGTCCCCTTCGCCCCGCCTATCGCCGGTTCCGACGCTCCAACGATAGGCAACAATGAAGCGACGACCTAGCTTCTCCCTTCCGGTTACCGTGGTTGTTTTGGTTATCGTATTTATATACTTCTCCACAATCTTCGTCTTCGTTGATCGGTGGTTTGGTCTCATGTCCTCTCCCGGGGTAATGAACGCCGTCGTCTTCACCGCCGTCGCCGTGATGTGCATCTTCAACTACTCCGCTGCCATCATCACGGATCCAGGTCGGGTTCCTTCCACTTATTTGCCGGATATCGAGGACGCCGATAACCCTATCCACGAGATCAAACGCAAAGTAAGGTTTCAGAAAAGAGATAAACTTTCCACTCTCTTGCTTGCATTGCTCCTCTCCTCTATGTTCTCTGGCAATTATGATATCTGGTTACAATGTGGCTATTAGGAATAGCTTTTAGGGTATGGTAGAGGGGAATTGAGCTTTTGGGGTTTCAAATTTCTGTATTAGTCTTACCTGATCTTGCTTTTATGGGAATTACTATCGGTGCACCATTGAAGAAATATCTTCATCTTGAATATGTTTTTCTGTAAAGGGAATTTTGTTAATGTTTAGGATCTTGATGTTGCTAGTTAATCATTTCAAATGAAAGGACTTGATATTCGTTGGTTCCTGCATCTGGAGAATTGTTGTGTTGAGAGAGGGTTTTGAATGTTCTGATTTAGGGTTTTCCAAGAATTTCGTTGTTCCAAGTAGCGATGGTAATAGTTCACCATTCTCACAAAGCCTAAGCAAATTGTAACGTTGGTTATTAGCACCCTGTTAGACCACTGATTGAATCTGAGCATTTGTTTGATTTAGCTTGTATATGCAATTGGAATACTTATGTTCTTTTGTGGTTGTAGCATTGGCCTTCAAATTTTCTCATTGCACTTTGCTGTAACTGCAAATCTGCGTTTTAAGAATTTAATGTATTTCAGATCCACATTTTGAGCCCTTCCATATTGTTAGGTAATTGTATCTTCATTCTCACACTACCAGAAATATGGAGTTGATTGGCCACCTTAGCAATTTTGATATTTTTCCTATTTGAAGGTTTTACTTTACGATAACAGTAACACAAAGGAAGGTGCACGTGTAAATTGACGTCGATCTCGATACTGACTCTATGCACTAGGCATTGGTTGGGGAGTTAATATTTTTGGCAGCTAATTTGTTTTTATGTGATCTTGCATATGTTGTCATGTGTCTTTGTCCTACTATTTCTGTAAAGAATCAGCATTTCACAAACTTGATGTTTTTGTGCCTTTCCGTCTAGGTCTATTGGTTCTTTAGTGATATATACCTAGTGAATTAGTCTTTGTAATAACCTGAGCAGATGGAAGGTTTTCAGTTCTGATAACAACTGCAAATCGTTGGCATACAACGATATTGCAAATTTCAGTTTAACTGATCGCTTCCATCTTATTGATAATACCCCTATGGTTGTTGATATAGCTTTTTCCATGGTGTAGCCCTACCTTGTTGGAGAAGTAGTACTTTATTGACATTTTCTGCGAAGTTCTTGTTTTCAATTCCACAAGAGTGATTGGGTGTTTTTTCAATATGATATGTACTGTCATCTTCTTAGTTAAACTGCTACCAAAAATCTCCATACTGGACTGCTTATTTTTTCTATACCTGATTGGGCAATTTAATTGATCATTTCGATATGGAAACAATAAGTTCAGCTGTTGCACATGTTGTGATTTATGCAGGGAGGAGATTTAAGATATTGCCAGAAGTGTTCCCACTATAAGCCACCACGAGCTCATCACTGTCGTGTGTGCAAACGATGTGTATTACGGATGGTGTGAAATATCTATCTTGTTGATTTCCTTAATTACTAGCGAAGTTTTATTTCAATGTGTTGAATGTGCTTTTTTCTGTTTTGAAGGACCATCATTGCATTTGGATAAACAATTGTGTGGGTCATGCAAACTATAAGATCTTCTTCATCTTTGTTGTGTATGCTGTAACTGCTTGCATTTACTCCCTGGTATGTATGGTTTTACTTATCATTCTAAACAGTTAATAGTTTCCACTTCTCCTTGGCAGACTGTAATGAGTATATACTATAATATTGACGCTCATTATTCTGTCATTCGACAAATTCCCAGGTATTGCTTGTTGGTAGTCTGACCGTTGATCCACAAAAGGATGACCAGCAAATTGGCGGGTTCTTTAGAAGTATATATGTATGTGCTGATTTTTCTTTAATAGCTTTGAGGTAAAATAGAAATGTAAAATTTTGATCAATTTTGTGATTGATACATGCGTTTCAGGTAATTTCAGGATTGTTGTTACTTCCCGTTAGTATGGCTCTGAGTGTTCTTTTGGGTTGGCATATCTACCTAATTCTACAAAATAAAACAACAATTGAGGTTTATCTCCAGACTTTCACATTTTTTTGTGGCTTTCTTTTGATGATCTTAGATTTGAATGATTCATTAATCAAATTTGTTAATCTTTTGGCGGCAGTATCATGAAGGAGTTAGGGCCATGTGGCTTGCGGAGAAAGGAGGAGATTTATACAAGCATCCTTATAACATTGGTGGCTTTGAAAATTTGACAGCAGTAAGCATGTCCCTTGCCTCATCTTTTCCCTCTCTCTGGTGAACATATTTTCCTGATTCTTTCCAAACCATGAAACTGTGGAAGGAGGGTAGTCAGTTTCCTTCCTGAGCTTCTTCTGAAATTATCATAGGGGCCTAGTTAACTTCATTCGTAGGTAATGCAGGTAAGATGGGGCAGACTATATTTCATAAAGTGCAGTTAGGGACTCATGAAACAAGAGAAATTGAGAATTGTACATTGATTTATTAGTGAACTCATCTCTCTGAATTGCTTCAGATACTTGGCCCCAACATCCTCTGCTGGTTATTCCCCACATCAAGGCACATCGATGTTGGCCTTCGCTTTCCCACAGCTTATGATAACTTGTCAACTCGAGCAGCCTCAAAGTGAGGGCGACAGTCAAGGCATAATTCATACTGCTCGTTACTGTTTTGCTCTACCTTCGGAAAAAAGCTTCTTCATCCCAGCGAAGGCTGATGGCGGTGAAGGAATGCATCAAGTTGTTTATAGTTGTTGATGTGACCTGTGAAAAAAATTAGGCAAGGTAGCAAGTTCTTGTGCTTGTTTTTTTGTTTTTGAATGAGTTCTCTTTTGCTTGGTCCCTCGTTTTCTCCCGTTTCCAGTTTATTGTTGATTTTCGTTTGATAGAGTCGAGATGTAGTAGTTCATGTAGAGCTCACCCAAGAGAGGAAAGAAAAAGTGGAAGAGTGTCCAGTGTAACCTAACAACATCATATAGTAGTTAACTATGTCTGCTCACTTGCCCTAGCGAAATATGAAAAGAGTGATGAGAAGCAGATGGAGATACTTTTGAATCTTATTCATCCTTTGTCAACTTGACAGAAATTGTCTTGTGTAATCTCTGTACGATGATTTACAAATGAAGTCAAGCAGTTGCAGTTTCCGCCCCTGTTTTGCATTCTACAATATGATTGCTTTTGCTTTTATTTTTGCATACGTTCCACATAAGATTAGATATTACTTGTTAAATACGGAATAGGCTGGCATGCTAACCATGTAGTCAGTTAGCACGGTGATAATTCACCTTATTACCATAGAAATTAATCTGGCCCAATCCAATGAACGTTTCCCCCTGAGGGTGTTTTGGGGAATTAAGTGTGGTAGGTGACGTCATCACACGATTTTCGGCATGAGTTGTGCGGATTTTGTTTTGTGGGTGGAATATCAACAGTCCATTTCTTTTTTAATTTCTTCCCCTTTTCGTTTCATGTATCCCCTTTCTCTTTCATTACAAGAGCACCCCAATCGAAAGAAAGGTATCCGCCCTCTCCAACTTTGCATCCGCCATCTGCGTCTCCAGATCTTGCCTTGCCGTTGCCAGAGTCAGGCTTGTCCGATTCGTCGTTGCAATTAGGTTCCCTCTCCTCCTGCGACCTCGCTTCAGTAGCCTTCCCAATCCTCACATCACTCGTCGGCTTCCTGATCCTGCGTCGTCGTCGCCCGCGCCGAAGTCGCCGTAGCCTCAGTTCCATTCTCATGCGCCAATCTCATCACCGCCACGCTTATTTTAGTCCGCCCTAGATCTTGTAAGTTTTGTCACTGCAGTCGGACTCTTAGTGTCGGTGCCCTTTTATGGGGGAAAAGTTAATCCGCTAACTTGAAAATTCGTTAGCAGATACTAACTGATATCCAAAATATATGAACTAGTATCCAAGTATTAAAGTATCTAGAGAGCACAGACTAGTATTTAAAGTTTGCTAACTGATATCCATCATGCATCAACTATTATCCCAAATTCACAAACTAATATCTAGACAACACAGAATAGTATTCATACAGAACATAATTGGTATTCAGATAACGCATAAAAGTATCCAAATAACACATAAGAGTATCCATATTGAATACTAGTTAGTTGATTGTGGATATTAGTTGGTATCTGCTATCTGGATAATAGTTTGTGATGTTTTGAATACTAGTATGTGCTATCTAGATACTCAACAGACTTGGATACTAGTTCATACATTTTGGATATTAGTTAGTATATACTAACGAATTTTCAAGTTAGCAGAATAACTAGGCTGCTTTTATGGGAGAGAAATACACATGATGCCACTTAAATTTGGTAATTGATGAAGTCATATCATCAAAGTTAATTTAGTGCATCAGATACCACTTAAGTCCGATTAAAGTGCGTCCCATCCATATTTCCATCCAATTTACTAACAGAAGGAATTAAATATTGGTTTGTACCGAGAAAAAAAGTTCTTCCAAGCTGTGCTAATGGTGACTTTATCTTAGTTTCAATGATGTCCTGGAGCGGCGGGGGACATGGCTTAAATTCAATCATTCTCTCCGGCTTTTGATTTTGAGAGAGTGGGCTCAGCAGTCGGCCTATGTTTCCGGCGGCATAAATGCAAGGAGGATGTATAGCTGATATAGGATCTTGTGGAACAGGATTAACACGTCAGCCTTGCCACATAATTAGTCCTCCCATACTCTGACGGGAAAAAAAATGAACATCCTAAAAAAACAAAACAAAATCAATAATCAAAACAAAAAATAGGAAGTGGAACTCTTCCACCAGACCACAATCCTCACATCCTTCGTCTCCCATCAACCCCAAACTTTGAATTTTGGTGGCCAATAAACCTTCGATCTCCCTTCGTTCATACCGGCGGTGACAATCGAGGAGCAAGCTCCCAGCTAGCGGCGCGATCGTAAAGTTAATCCAACTGCCATCATCGCTTCGAATACAACACTCAACTCGACGATTTTGCATCCCCTAAATCTAAAATGGCGGCAAAGAATCAGAGAGCAGTACGATTTTATAAAGGGCGGAGGCAATTGCGATTTGGTTTGCTGAACTGTTTCCTGGTTTGGGCCCTCAAAATTTTCTCTATGCATTGTGGGTTTTCTTCCATATGCTACAACTTTTTATTGAAGATTTGGTTGCGATTCAAGGCTTCAAAATTCAAGCTAGGGTGTTTTCCAGCTGGAATTATTGGCTTAAACTAACAAAACAATGGGCAGATCAAAGTTATGCGGCCAGCAGAACTCAAAGGTCAGTGGGATTGAAAGGAGACGAAGGCTTGATGAGAGTAGAGTTTGGGAGCTTTATTTGTTTCTATTATTGATTTATTTTTTGGGAGGATGATTATTATTATTTGCCAGAGTGTGGGAAAGCTGACCTGTCAAACACGTTCTGTTAGTAAATTGGATGGAAATATGGACGGCCACACATTAATCGGACTTAAGTGGTATCCAATCCACTAAATTAACTTTGATGGTATGGCTTCACCAATTGCCAAACTTTGGGTAAATTGCAAGTTTGGTCACTTGAATTACTAAAAAAATTCACGTTTGTAACTCAAATTACTTTATTCCATTCATGGTCACTAAGATTAGTTCAACAGATCAAGTTTGGTCACTCTCCGTTAGTCTCCGTTAAGTTTTTCTGATGTGGCAGTCAACTCTGATAGTTGACCGTTATATGAGTGACGTGGCAAATTAAAAATAATTAAAAAAACAAAAAATTTATTATATTTAATTTCCACCTCAGTTTAGCAATAAATTAAACAAAAAATCATTATAATTACCAAAAGTAAAATATAATTCTTTGATAAATATCGGGCGATATTCATAAAAAAATCTCCGGCAGGAGAAATCAACGGAATTGGGTAGAGACGGTGGAAGCAACTCGATCGGGAGCAGAAGCAGGCGAACGGTCATCTCTTTCTCTGTTTTTATCCTCCGTCGAAAACCTACCAAAAATCCGCCGATTCCACCAAACGTTGGCTGGTTTTGTTGCGACACACTGGCTGCAGCAGCTCCTTGACGGCGGACTTGTTAGTTTTGCAGAGGGACCCATTGCAACTCGTCGTCAATGGCGGCCAAATACTTCGAAGCTAAGGACTCTCAAATGCTCAAGAACGAGAAGCAAATCCTAGTTCAACTTCGACCTGTGCTTCTTTTCCGAGCAAAATCCCAGCAATTTGATTCGTGTAGATCTCTTCCCCTTTTAGAACAAAGCAGCGGAGAAGCAAAGAAAGAGATATGAAAACCCCAATCGAGCGCCCTCTCGGTGCACCACCAGGACTCCTGGAGGATCTCCCCCTTCCAGGCGAAGACGTCGGGCATCTCGATCTGGGTCCTGCAGGAGATGACGCTGGGCATCTCGATCTGGGCGATCTCAAGCTCGAGGCAGCCGAAGTCGGACTGGGGCATGCCCTTGATCTTGTAGTCCCGGCCGGTGGTGGTTTTGTCGACGACGAGGACCATTGCGACGACGACGGGGATGGGAATTGGGGATCTGGGAAATTGGGGAGGAAGAGAGGGTGGACGGTGGAGGTGGGCCTCAACCAACCGACGACTAGGTGGAGGTGAGGAGTAGATAGTTAATTTTATATTTTAATAGTTTTAGAAATGAGGTGGAATTGTAAAAATATTGTAAATTTTTCAAAAAAAATTTATATATTTTTTTAATTGCCATGTCACCTATTTAACGGTCAACTATTAGAGTTGACTGCCACATCAGAAAAATTTAACGGAGACTAACGGAGAGTGACCAAACTTGAACTGTTGAATTAATCTTAGTGACCATGAATGGAATAAAGTAATTTGAGTGGCAAACGTGAATTTTTTTAGTAATCTCAGTGACCAAACTTGCAATTTAGCCGCCAAACTTTAGTGTCACAAAGTGTATTTCACCCCCTTTTATGGCTTATCCAACTCACGAGTTGCTTACCGCTGCAGGTGCATGCCATTTTTGGCATTTTTCTTTTGGGTTTGCAAAAATGAGGTCTTTGTTTGTTAATTCTTGTATTATGTCGTCCCACATGAAGGCCTGGGGTGGAGGATGGGTTTTTGGATTCAGTATGTTACTCTTGTATTTGTTTTAACGTAGTAGTAGTGTACTTCATCTCTATGGTAGTAGTGTTTTGGTTTGAGTTAGAGAGTAGAGACAATAGTGTCGTACTGTATTCTTTTTTGTAAGATGTACTAGGGATTAAACCCTATAGTATTGATTATATTCGTGTTGTAGTGATTCTTTGGTCCTTGTATTCAGGGGGCGGAGCTACAACTTACGTAAGGGGCCTCGGACCCCCCTCCCCCAGAATTTCAGAAATCACGTATATATCGATCTTTGTTTCGAGAATAAAATTAAAATAATAAGAATACATATGTGCTTAAAATTGTAGCATAATATGCATTTAGTCCAGCGGTTGCTTGGTTTTATTTAGGCAAAATACCTCTGCATAGCCAAAACTTTCACCTTTGTGCCACTTATAGCCACATTTGGCGAAATACCACTAATAGCCACTTCCGTCCGATTCTTTAACGCTGTTAACGTTAAGTGTGACTGGGCAAACGGAAGGGCTTACGTGTCAAGCCTGCGTTTTACACGTGGATAATAATAATAAAAAAAAAATCCCTAATGTTTTCACCGTCGTCGTTTTCTACTTTCTATCTACTCCTTCGTTTTCCCCTCAGTCGAATTCACCCACCCACCTTCGAAGGCGACGAAGCGACGAAGGCAGTTCAGTCGACGAAGGCGGCGAACTCAACGAAGGCGACGATCTGCCTCCGACGACCAACGTACCCAAAAACCTCCACCATCTGGCTTCCTTCCCCCACCATCGAAATTCCCCAAAACCTCGAGTCCCGATTTTTCCTCCAGTACCGATTTTCCTCCTTCGATAAAAATATCCTTGCATGTAATGGGTTGACCAACCGGCGGCGAGCTATGGCGGAGTCCTTCGAAGCTTGTTTTGTGTTGTTTGCTTTGAAGGAATAGCGGAATCGACCCTTGCAATTCGCGATTTTACTGGGTTCGTCGAAACCCTAATCGCACTTGAAAGGGGGATTTTTGCTCCCACGACTGGTAAGGTTCTGTTCTTGCTTTGTTACTGTGGTTGTGGATTGTGGGGTGAAGGTTCTTATAGTTTATTGCTTCTCTTTGTTGTTTGGTTGGTATCGAGCTGTAAAGACAAGAAAGCGACAAGGCAGAGGAATCTCGGGACCACTCGAGATACCATTTTTTTGGCGAGTTTGCCCCCATAATTGACGGTCAGTTAGTCGATGTACTGGGTTAGAATTGTCTATTCCTCTTTGATTCCCACGAACCCTAGAATTGAATAATGTTAGCATTTGTTTACCATTTGTTTAGTAGCGATTAAAATAGTGTGAGGATTGTTTAATCACGTGGTTAATGGTGATTAACAAACTGATTAAAACTTGATGACAGATGGCTGATTCTTGGGACTCTGCTTTTGGAGAGAACGATCCAGATGCTCAAGAAGTATCAGATTTCTCCTTGCCTGCAGAAGATGGAATTGAGGCTTCTATTGCTAGAGACATATACCACGTATATGACTCAGACGACGCTGATACTTCTGACGACGAATACCACGAAGCAAGGTCAAACCTACGAGCCTATGGGGAGATGAGGAAAAGGAAGGTTAAGGCGCGGATTGATGGACATGGGGAGGAGGTCGAGCAGTTGGATGATTTTGAAGAAGAAGAATCTGACGATGCAGATGATGATTTGGCTGATGAAAACGAAGAGGATGATCCTGCTGCCTCTCATGCTAATGAACGCGAAGAGGAAGGAGCTGTTGGATCTCATGCTGATGAAGGAGTCCAAGCTAGTGAAGCACCTCAAGTTCAGGAAACAAGGGGAGAAAACTCAAACCACTCGAGTTATAGAGGATCTGAAGACTCAAACCACGTCAGACCTAACCTATCTGACTCTGATGGTAGGGAATTGTTTGATGACGCACCGCATTATGATCCTCATTGTGATCATACTGTTCTGGAGTTCGTGCCAAGGATGAAGTTTGCTAGTGCTGTGGAGTTCAAGGCTGCTGTCGTCCGTCATTCTGTAGCTGCCGGGGCTGGTTTGAGGTGGCTTAGGAGTAATCCAACAAGGAGGGAGGTTAGATGCAAGGACATGAATTGCAAGTGGAGAGTATATGCTAGCTAGTTCAGCAAGAACCAGAGTTTCATGGTGAGGAAGGCTGGTCTGCCTCATTCATGTGCAAGGAAGCTTCGTGTCAACCAAGTAACTGCCCACTGGATTGCGAGTGACATGTTAGAACGGTTTAGAATTAATCCTGAGTGGGCGCCTGATCAAATTATGGCCGAGGTTAAGCTTAAACACAATATGGAGGTTGCGAGAAGAACGTGTTATAGAGCCAAAGTTGCTGCAATCAGGATGCTTGGAGGTTCACTCGTAGAGGAATACCACAAGGTCAGATCTTACCTTGGTGAGTTGTTGAAGCGTGATCATCAAGGGACTTTCAAATTGGAAGTGGAACCTCACCATACACAAGAGAAGGTGTACTTCCAGAGAATGTATATTGGATTCTCTTGTTTGAGGGATGGTTTCCTTGAAGCCTGTCGTCCAATGTTCGGATTGGACGGATGCTTCTTGAAGGGAGAAATAAAGGGAATGTTGCTTACAGCTGTGGGGAAGGACAACAACAACCAAATGTTCCCAATTGCTTGGGCGATTGTAGAAGGCGAGAACACAAACTCCTGGAGATGGTTTATGAACACTCTCGCACAAGATTTGAACCTACATAATGGCAGGGGCTGGTCTGTCATCTCTGACAAGCAAAAGGTAATATTCATGAGCTTTGTTGGTTTTGTTGGTTTTGTTGGTTTTAATGGTTTTGTTGGTTTTGTTGCCTTTGTCGCACAAGACGTATATTAATGGTTTTGTTGGTTTTGTTGCCTTTGTTGCCTTTGCAGGGTTTAGTGGAAGCTATTCATGAGCTGCTGCCCGAAGCAGAACATAGAAAATGCGCAAGGCATGTTTACGCAAACTGGAAAGTCAAACACAAGACTGATAGAGTTAGGAAATTGTTCTGGAGGGCAGTATACTCGTGCAATGAAGCTGACTGGAAGACTGCTACTTCTGAGATCGAGGCAATTGAACGTGAGGAACGAGGTACGACACCATTTACTGATTTCATGAATGCAGAACCTCGAACGTTTTGCCGGGCTTATTTATCTCCTCTACCAAAGTGTGATTCGGTTGAGTCAAATATTTGTGAAACATGGAATGGTGTGATTGTGAAGTACAGGTGTATGAGAATAATAGACATGTTAGAGGGGATTAGGGGCTATGTGATGGACAGGGTAGTAGCTAAATATAAGTTACTGCATGAATCTACTGATGTGTTATGCCCTAGGATTAGAAAAAGAGTTGAGAAAGAGAAAGCATTGTCCCGATTGTGTACTGCAAGACAGACTAGGAACGATCAGTGTGAGGTAAAGATGGGAAGTGCAGGGTACATTGTTGATTTAGGTGCAAAGACTTGCACTTGTGGGTGGTGGTCATTGAGTGGCATTCCATGTTGCCATGCTGTCTCCGCTATTTCACATCTGAGGAAGGAGATTGACAGCTATGTACATTCATCTTATTACATCTACAATGCTGAGCATGCATACAAGAATGGAATCCCTTGTCTAGATGGTAGACAGGCTTGGCCTACTGTAGAGGGATATCCAGTACACCCACCCAAGCAACGAACCATGCCCGGTAGACCAAAGAAGAATCGAAGGAAGACTGCACACGAACAGGAGGTTCGACCTGCACGAAATGGGATCGGAGAGGAGGTGGTTAGAAGGGGATCAATCATCCATTGCAAGAAGTGTGGCGAGGAAGGTCACAATACGAGAACCTGTACAGCTCCTACTCAGGTTGCCCAACGGGTATGAATAAGTGCGGTTCTAATTAATTGTTGTTTCTAATTAATTGTTTTTCCTAAGTGCGGTTGTCTGTTTTCTTTGGTAGAACAACACCACTACACCTAGAGCAGCAGCACAACCTACAGGTAACAATGGAGCGAGTGGCAAACGACCAAGAACTGCAGCAAATCCAGTAAACAACGACAACACAGGTCAAAGAGGAAGAATAGGTCACTGCTCCAAGTGCGGTTCTAGTACGCATAATGTACGAACATGTCCTCTAAACCGAGGAGTAGGTATACAAGTAAGTTGAATGGATGTGGCTAGAATAGGCAGACTAATTGAGTTGATGAATTTGAACCTCGCAAAGTTGCTAAATGTTCGTGTTTTGCTTGCTATGGTAGGACGTTAGGCTGAATGTTTCTGATCGGAGGACTGTTGAGCGCGAGTTGCGAGCTGCCACAAGAGGAATTGGAGTTTACGTGTCAGAGGATACTGGCAACCAATACGTTAGAGTAAGTATTTATACAGTAAAATGGTTGTTGTTATCGATGATTAATGTAATGGCTGATTTTTATGCTACTATTTCAGCTCAATGGTGCAAGAGGACGTGCGTTTAGAACCACGCAGCCCACTGAGGTCCAGATGAATGGAAGTCAACCCCCACCCTCGCAGCCTTAGACCTCATCCAGGAGTCATCTAATGTTTTTTGTGGAAGGCCATTAAGATATTAGCTACCTCGATAGAGGTTTATTTTGGATAGATGACTCGTGTATTGGCCTTTTAGGAACACTCTCGGAGTATGTTAGTATGTTTGGTAGGCTTTGCTATTGTAATGTAATGCTCGGATTAAGAAGAACTCGGAGTATGTTGATAGGCAGACTTATGTAATGAACAACTACGATTATGCTATTGATTATGTGCCATAACTTTGTCATCTTATTACTTGAGTTACGCCCTTTTGCACAAAGTACAAATTAGCAACTCTCTCTATTACACTAAAACCTGCTGCTAGCTTCAACAGTTGATGAACTATGTATATATGAACCAGGGGATCTCAAAATCTGTCACCAAATCTTCATCCATTCTTTCCATACAGAGAGAATTACATTACATCTCCTTGATGAACTCTCCCTACTAAACTAACATTAGATCTCTGTTTTCACTAATTCTTGAAAACGTTGGAATCGGGATACAAATGTCGAATTACATCAACAATGTAGATTAATTTCCTACCACATAATAACATGGTGCAACATAATAATAACCAATATTAGGTTAAGTAACACAATCACTGTCAATACAACTCG